CCGGCCCCGGCCCGGCGGGCTCGGCACCCTCCGCTGGCGCACCAGGAATTGAGGGACCGCGCGCTGGAGCGCTGGCAGAGCCGGGCTCCAGGTGCTCTTCCAGCGGCTCCTTTGCGTTACCTGCTCGTGTTTTTCAGGAGAGACATTTACAAATGCGGGCTGTGGCTTTCAGGGAACGGAAAGGTCCAAATACCGATATCGGAGAGGACAAGCAAATGTTTGTCAGGCTCATTATTTCAGAGTATTTTGGAGCAGTGTTTTAGGATCAGATGCAGTTACAAGCCGTGGGTTGTTTTGGTCACGGCGAGGGACTGACTGCCTGTGCACGTTCTGCAGGGCTGTAGCGTGGAGCATAGGCTAGGCCTCGCCGAGCTGACTCAGTTTTGGGGGGAAAAAACCCTAACTGAAGGGAAAAAAAAAAAAAAAAAAAGAGTTTTTGAAGGCGGTGAATTTGGAAGCGTACTATCACCAGTAAAATCTTTCAAATACTCATTTGAAGAAAGACACTTAATATAAATGGAGAGTGACTGTGACTACAGCAGCACCTGCAACACTAAGGAGCCTGCCAGGGCTTCAGCAGAAATCTTTTAACAGGATAATTTGGACTTCAGCTCTTGGGAAATGTCTTGGACTTCCAGATTTCAGGCTGAATATTACGTAGATACGTAGAAACTATTTGTCATCAGACGAGTTGCTTTCGTAAGAGGCAAAATTTCAGCAAACAGAAACATGATGGGATTGCCTGGGTTTTCCTTCTGTTTTCTTTAGTTTTAGTGGCTGAAAAATAGTTTAGATACTTGCAAATAAAAATTTGCGTGTGTTTAGCAATGACAGTAAAGTCATCTGTATGTCTGTTTTAAAGTGATAGTTCAGCTGTTACAGTTTCTGCCATGAATTGTGGATAGTCTGTAACTCAGAGTCAGTAGTAAAAAATATAAAAGTTCACCTCCCTATTATTATCATACATTTCCTCTATAAGACATATGCAATAAGAAGCCAGGCACTTGGAAAGTGTTCTTAATCTTTTCAAATCATATTCAAATAACAACAAAGAAGAGCTGCTGAATATTCTAGTGGGTTTGTGCTGCTGCTCGTAGGCCCCATCGCTGTACACGTGCTTGCCCCGCTGCCACGAGCAGTCTTGCTGAAATTAATGGAACTCTCCTTGGTGGTGAAGTTAAACGTGTGTGTGTAATTGTTGTTGAGAATATGGCTTTAACAAACAGCCAAATATAGAGCTAGACTTACGGAGAAATGTAGATGTAATACATCATTTTGGTTCATTGGTGTTGTATCCGATCCAGAGAACCCAGGTGTGTCGATACCAAACCGTGTGTTTTTGTAGCAAATGCAACAACTGTCCAGCCTCCTTTTTGTACCAAGTGAGGTAAAGATTTTGGCTCCCAATGTTTATAAATATAAAATGTGGTTTAGTGTTACAGCTGAAATTTAGTTGTTATTAATATTTAAGTAGACATATGACTATAGTAAATGCTGCTTTCGTGAATAATTTTTAGTTGTGAAGGTGATCCAGTCTATCTTATCCCAAGATACTAATTCTTGATTGGTTTAGCCACCTGTGTTTATTCGTGGTACAGTCTGCCTCATCAGACAGAGGGTGTATGGTATAAAACAGCAGCTTAGGGGAGAAGTGGCGTGTGCATAAAGAGTTGTAGATAAAAACTGCTCTCTAAATGCTTACAAAACACCAGTGAGCAAGGAGAAGGAAAAGGAGTAAGGCTCTGGGATTAAAGTGGCAAAACATTCAACCAGGTTTTATGGAGAGCCGAGGAGGACTTGGGAATTCATGAGGGAGAAGGAAAGGAAGGGAGAAAGCAGAGGGGGAAAGCATTTGTGAAAAAATGAACCTTGAAATATAGCTGCTAAAATACAGTTTTGAACATGAGGCTCAAAATGGAGGCTTGTGCTGTCAGTGTGTGCTAGCAGAGGCCTGACATCCTATAAATACAAACTGTACCTCCCTGCCCGTTCTGCCACAGCCGTACGGTTCCTGTGGCTGAGACACAGGCTGAGGAGGGGAGTAAACGAGTAGCCAGGAGATGCTAAGGGGAAATCTTTCTAAATTTTGCCACGTTACGATACTACTCCTGCAAAAATATGTTTGCTTTATATAGAAAGAAAGCTGCCGATCTGGCAGTGTGGAGCAGCTCAATTAAATGCTGCTGTTGGAGTTGTTCAGCGTGCATGGAAAAACGGGTACTACAGGCAGATGGGCTGCCCTGTGCACTGGCATCCGAGCAGCACAGCAGAAATAGCATCCATCTACTTATGGAAACTGGAGTAAAGTGGAGTGGGGTTTTTGCACTGCAGGTTCAGAAGGGGAGCAGGGGAGAGCTGCAGGGGGGCTCTTTGGAGCAGGCAGCCACAAAAGGTGGTCTCTGCCTCTCGTTGTGTGTAGGGTCGATTTTGGAACGTATAGGGAGGGTGGGAGGCTGCTTACAAGACACAGATAAGAGGAGGTTTTTTGTAACTTTGTGGGTGGAGGCTTAAAGGGATGCCTTCCTTTTTCAAATGTGAGTATCTACATATTTTATTCCGCGTGATTTAAGTTACGGAGTTTGACTTGGTGATGATGAACTGCAGCCAAACTTAAAATTCTTTAAGGATATAGCAGAATTTTCTCAGTTTAAAAGGGACTCCAGTCAGTCTTCCCCTCTGTCAGATAGTAGTGACAAGGCAACCAGGTTGTGATGTTCCCTGTTGTCTTCTCTGTAAAACGTTGAAGTTGTCCATTTTCTTTCCAGATACTGAAATCTGCTTTTAACATTGACACTGGAAAAATGGACAGTGAAATGATCCAAGATTCAGATCTGACACATGACTTGAGCTGGGCATTTATTTTTAGCTACAACTGAAGTTTCCAGTGGCAATTATTTCTTTCACTTTTCGCTCTTGCACTGAGAAACCAAACTTTCTTGATTTTACCCCGAAGAAAAAAATTCTAGCGTGTGCCTTAATCACTTATGCTTCCTTCTGAAATCGATTTACTTTCATTTTCTAGGTGCTGGTGAATCCGGTAAAAGCACAATAGTCAAGCAGATGAGGATCCTTCATGTGAATGGATTTAATGCTGAGTAAGTGCATTTGCTTTTTCCCTTTACAACATACCTTCCTCCTCTGCACCACAGTGCTCCTGGTTTATATCTTGTGTATTTTCCTCTTGCTGCTGTTTCACTACCTCTAGAATTTGGATGTGTATTTTTAGATGAGATTAATAGACATTAACCTGAAGAAGTCAGGCACCAATCATAAGTAAGAGCAGTGTAAAATTATTTATGTCAAGGCAGAGCTGATTTGATTAAGTTTTGAGTTCTGTGGGTTTGTTAACTACAGTTTCTTTCACAACATGGCTGACACTGATTTGCTTCAGCCATAGCACATTGATTCATATTGCTGTAAAGGTGCCTCGTGTCAGTGTATAAAACGAGTGCAATTTTCTTTATTGGAGCAAGCAATTACTTTCTGTGTCCTCACAGAATGAAATTGTAGTCTGAATTTTGGAGATTTTGTTGTGTTTGTTTCTTTAAATGTTTGTGTTAAATTATCTTCTTAGAAACTTCTAATTTTTGCATCTAATATCTGTTATTTGGAGTTGTGAAAAGGGGAATGGCATTAAGATAGAGAAAATGGATATCTCGTTGTTTGTCTGAGAAAGATTTGTTTGCTAACTTTTTGACTAACTTTGCTAGAGAGTAGGAAGACATTCTTCTGCATGTTAATTTATGCTTGCAATTGTGTGTGTGTGTACTAAAAGCTGCTAAATTAATACTAATTGAATCAAAGTATTGGAATTTCAAAGCTTATTTTCTGTGCTTTTTTTTTTTTTTTCCAGCTTGTATTATTGGTTTTGTCTTGCTTGTTTTCAAACATAACAGTTTTGTACTGCCATCCTTTAGCTTTTAGTGTTATCGTCTATTTTGTGAACCCTGCCTTTTTGGGAAGGTTAAGCTTTCTTTAGTCTTCAGGAGTAGTTAATTCTTTAGTAAGAAAATCTGAGCTAAAAGTTTAGCCAGGGGTCTGGACACTGCTTCTTCCTAATCAGCAAATGATAGTTCAGCATAAGGTACACAAGTCTTTCGGATGAAAGTTCAGACTGATTCATATTAAATATGTTATGTGCTACATGTTTTTAGCTCCTCTTTATAAGGAATATTTTCTATTTCCAAAATAACTTTTTCATAAGTGCCTAGTCCTGCATCCTGTTACTGCTGAGCTGTCTCTGTCCTTTGGGCTGCTGCAGAGACCTCTTAAAAGACTTGTGTGCCTTAAAAGACTTGAATGAGTTGACTTGGTTGAGTAGGTCTCAATATTGGGTGCTGAGTAAAAAGTTCATGAATGAAAGTGGAAGTGGATCCCCGGGACCTTTGAAAGTATCAGTCCATCTAAGCAACAGGGTTTTTCTAAGTTTTTAAGCAGATGGGCGCTCTTAAATGGGTAACGATGCTGTGTGATGGATGGTGTGTGATGTGGGGAGGTGTCCTCAACCCTGCATGCTGCACACCCAGGTCTGTGTGGACCTGGGAGCCCTGAGACCTGTGCAGAACTGGTGAGGGACTGGGACACACTGGGATTTGCAGCAGCCGGGGGTTCCTCCAGTGTCTCACTGCATTATAGGTTTGGGCAGAGCTGAGCCCGCAGCTGGAATCCAGGGCAACATGGCAAAATTTGGCCTCAGGAGGCTCTGCTGGCTTCTGCCTTCTCAGAGCAAGGGATTTGGATTACGGGGCAGCCCTGTGCCAGCACAGCCCTGCTGCCAATCACGGGGCATGTCCCTGTGCGGGAGCCGTGCGGGAATTGCAGGGGAGCAGCCCGGGGCTCAGGAGCTGGGCATTGTCCACCCAGGGCACTTTGTCCCTTCTGCTTGTCCTTTGCTGGGTAATATGTGCTGGAACACTGAGGTGCATAAAAATCCAATACAGAAGTGTGGTATATTTAAAGTACAAGGAGTAAGTTATAACGCATCATTTTTAGGGTTCTACTGCCAAAAATAATCAGTAGATCATAACATACACTTTACAGCAGGGAAAAGGCTGTTTTTCAGTGTTTTGAAATTCTTGCAAGTTACACATCTGTCCTTAAATAACTTGCATTTGCTTCCAAATAACTAACTGCTCTGTATGTTGTCTCGCTTTCCATTACCCTTTTTGCCTGATTCACTCCCTTTCTGCCCTGCTTACCTTGTGGAAGAATGATGTGGGATTCAGCTAATGAGAGAAATAGCATGGAGTTTTTTTTGGAAGGGTAGGAAGAGCAAAGCATTACTTCTCTTCATGTCCTGATCAGTTGCTCTGGAATATAAACATGTTTGCATACAACACCGCAGCTGATGTGATGAATAGCAGGAGAGAGATGCTGAAAACAGTAATATACTGCAGATGAGGAGACTTTTATTTTAGTGTACTTGTACATAACTAGTTTTGAATTATTTCTGTGCGTTATTATTGGTGCAGTTTATTCTTGTGCTTTGAAAGAAATCCAGCTTAAAGTCCTGTCTTAGAATTGTTTGCCTTTGGTTTGGTTGCCCTTTGGCAATGAACAAGGGAATCAAAAGTTTTTATTTAGTGTTGCTCTTCTTGCTGGTGACTAAACAGGATATCCAGTGCTAAAAGTGCTGGCCTACTTCAGTGAGTGTGAGGGGATTTTATTTTGTTTGGTTTTAGGATTCTGCCCCTAAATAATTGAAGTTGTCGTGTGCCTTTAGGTGAATTGTAGCATTTAGCAAGGTGAAATCTGTGTAGTTCTACAAAACTAGAATTTCCTCTGGGACTCCAATTCTCAATCCCTTTAGCTAATTAATTATTTGAGGAACTGTATGGAATCAGGTACTCCAGGTAATTAATGTGCTGAATAGTTAAAGCTAAGATTAATCTGATGGTGGTTAAAGTTGTAGGCAAGTTAACTACAGTAAAGTCTATTTTTTTTTTTTTCAATGTTCCTTTTATAATTTGTAGTTGAATTGGAGACAGAAGTGCATTTTTTTTTCTGTTGCTGTAGTGGAGCTGGTGTGTGAGATGTAAGAGTTCTGTGGCATTGGTAAGGGGAGTTGAGTATTGGAGAAGCAAGGCATGTTCTACAGCACAGGTTTTTCTGCGTGGAGTTTTTTGGAAGGGCTTAGCCCACTTTCAGCTCTTGCAGAATGGCTTCAGGTGGCCATGCTATCATCTGACATCTTCCTGCAGCAATTCCATGAAAAATGGAAATGTGGCCTCCCCACAGTATTTTTCCAGTGTTCCTGGTCTTTAACATGGAAGAGCTGCCTTCTAAGCAGAATGAGGAAGCCGTATCAACCAAATTTTCTGCTCTTTGCATTACTCCCAACAACAGAGGCCCTTTTGATGTAGAAAGGGCTTAAATTTGGCTTTTAATAGCAGGAAGCCTGCGACTTCCCTTCCTTTCCTTCCCTCCCTCCCTCCTCAACACTTCAACTGTCTTTTCATGAGGCAGTTCCAGAGGAGTAGGTATCTACTGCTGCAGACAGTATTTTGTGAGTATACTCTGATAAGGTGGAGCCAAAACCTTCTCTTTTTGACTGTACAGAAGTTTAGATGGCAATCTTCCTGAGCTGGGAAGGATGAAAAATGGGAAAGGGAGGATAGGAGGAGTAATGAATACAGCTGGAAGAATTAAATGTGTAACTCAGGTTGAAGAGGAAAAGAAAACTCCTTTTTGTGCTATTTCGAGGCTGGGGTTCTTTGCTACTAAAAACATGGCCTTTCACTTACTTCTGATTTCTTTAAGTCATCTTTCCCCTCTGTGATCACTGTGGCTTTGGCTGACAAACTCTCAGGAGAGAGTCATTGTCATGCACAATTTTAGAAAGCGAGGAATAATTGGCATGGGCAAGAGACAATCTTGAAGTGTCATGGGAAAAACTGGGACAAGCAGAAATATTTAAATAGAAATAAATAGTTGAAATGTGACTTACGAAATCCACTACAAAGATTGACAAATAAGGGGAATATGCCTTTGTGATTATTAAGTTTGGATAGTGTTTAAGATTCAGGAAGTCTTGAAGTTACAGGAAATTCCAGGTAATGCTTTTCAGCCTCAATTTCCCAAATGATGATGTAAAATGTTGACACTTTATTGAACTAATATGTTGAAGTGCTGAATAGGAGTTTGTGTATTTATTAAATCTGGTAGTGTTGACGGCATAAGCAGAGCTCAATAGCTTTGTTTTCAAGACTTTTCTAATCTTCTCTTAATACATCCATTACCACCATTATGTCACATAAAGCAGTAAATAATATTATCTAATCATTTTAGTCAGTGTCAGTCTCTTGTAAGTGGAACAACTTCTGGTTCAGTAACTTTACTTTTCAGTTGTCTGATACTGTGGGGTTTTTTCTAACTTTGGTCTTTTTAGCCATGTGATTTTATGGAAGAGAAGTTAATGTTATGAGTGAGGGAAAAGTATAATATTTGTAACTAAGTCTTCCAAAATAGTGAATTCCCTCCTAATGGCTAATATTAGCTTGTATACACAAATATGATTGCTGTGTTTTTATAGTTCCTTTACATTTGTGTACCAATCCCATGTTTTCAGAATGGTCACTTCAGCTCCTTGCCAAGAAACAAACAGACTTTATTGTGTTTTACTTGACTGGCAACAAAAGTAATTTTTTCCTGGTGTTTGAGTAAAATTGAAAATTGGAGTGGGGGAGGCTTTGGGTGTGTGATTCCCCCTCGGCCATTTCTTTCTTTCTTTGCATCGCAGTGTCTGTTAAGAGGCTTCTGGCACAAACTTTTGGGGTTTTTTTCTCAGCTCCTGTTCCAGGAGACCAGTGAGGTGCTGGAAAATTTGTGTGTACACATCTGTTCAATCCATCTGAACAACTGGCTATGGTGTTTGATCAAAATTTGTGCTATAGAACATGAAGTGGGCAAAGAGGGGAGGAGGATTTGTGTTTCACTCAGTTTTAGGTCTTGTCCTGAGACCTGACACAGTTGTGCTAGTTGAATTTTATCAAAAGACAGAAGGTATGCCAACAGCTAATGAAAAGAAGAAAAGCTCTTTTTGTACTATGAAAAAGAACTGACTACTGTATATAGCTTGTAAAAGTTTATGCAAAAT